GCGCAAACAGAATGCAGCATAAGGAATTGTTATCTTCATTTGATCTGATTTGTTCTGATCTGATTGGAATAAGTTTTGGTCTAGTTTGGTCAGGTCTGATCTGATTGTAGTTTTATTCAAAATTGTTTTCGATTTTATTCTAATAAGAATAAGGAATAACTAATAAGAATAATTTGAAGTCAACAAAAAGGTGAGAAAAAGCTAGAGGTATAATAAATTTATTCGTACCCTAATTTATATATCATGTATATCACAGACACATGCACCAGACAACAATTTATGTGTGTTCTAAGACAATTGTTATCTATGACAAACTTGGTGTAACTTTAGCACACTTCAAAAATGAAAAATACTTTGCATGTACTCCTTTCGTCCTAAAATTAACTTTTCATTTGACTTTTCACGGTCTCTAATGCAACACTTTGACCATCAATATAATATCTCTATCCTAATATATAAATATATTTTATAAAAATAATACATTTCAAAATTTTGTTTCAAAATTAATCTATAGATAATAAATTTATATACAATGTATTTTTTTCGTAATATACAATCAAAGTTTAAAATTTTAATTTTAGGACGGGAGAGTATTTGTAAAAAGGGAGTGGAAAGAGGTGGGGGAGTAGCTTTTTCCACCCTTTTTAGATTTTACACTCAATAAAGGTGCTTTTTGGCAAGCATGCTTCAATTAAGGACATCTTTCGACTTTTGGAGCTGGTGGGGCTTCACAGTTAGCAAGGTAATTATGCTACGAGTTCGATTAAGACACGAGTTCGATTCTTAGTAATTGTGTTGAGAAGTAATTTTGCTAAGCATAGAATACATATTTGCAAGTATCAAGTGCAGGCTTCACTCTTTACCACCAGTTTGCAATCAAAATCTAATTTAACTCTTCTCAGTGGCTGTCCAATCAGATTTGAAAGGATCAATCAGATTTGAAAGTATCCTGGAGAATGTGGCTCTTTTTTTGGACTATTGGAGTGTGTTGGAAGGAGAAAATAAGCATCTATGTACCGTAGCGACTCCTCCATGTATTGGTTGACATTCCCATTTTTTTCTGTATCATTCATTCATTCGTCATTTACATGATCATATCATATTATTAGAGTGAGAGTCAAAATATTAATCCTTTATAATAATTATTTTTCCAAATTTATCTTCAATAAGCAAAAATAACATGTATGGTACTTTGAAATTTATTCTTTTGGTAGCCCCGTCGAAATAATAACATGTATGGTACTTTGCAATTTGACTAGGGGTGGTGTAAGATTGTGGACCACATATCCTTTATTTTATTAGAATATTAAAATAAAAAAGTGATCAACAATTAGTTAAAAATTGTTTAAAAAGGAAAGTGAGATGATTAATTTTTTACTGAGGAAATATTCGTTAATTTTTTAGAGAGTAATTATTAACCTATATATACCTATTAATCTATTCATAATATCATATCATAGCATACACTAAAGTAAGTACAAACTTCAAAAGTAACACCAAAATAACACATTTCTTAAATTTTATACTTCTCAAAGTAGAGAAGTTTTATGAAAGGAAAGGATTAAAATTTAAAACAATGTCAGCTATTATTTTTATACCAATGCTTGAGAAATAAAAAGTGAAATTTGCACTAAATAGGACTAAAACATAATGACTTTCCTAATGTAAAATTTAAACTTTTTTATTCCCTAAATAGGACTTAATAATGACCTAGTGGAAGGAATAATGTCCAGTAATGATGGACATTTAGTTGAATAATGACTACTTCATAATGACCAAAGGTCCTACATTGAGAAATAAAAACATATGGCTCTATATTGGGAAAGTCATTATGTTTTAGTCCTATTTAGGTAAATTTCTCAAATAAAAAACATAACGTCCGATATATTTGGACAAAGGGTCTATGTAGTATGTTCTAAGCTATTAGATTAATTCTTCGATCTCCATAAAATCACATAATAAAAAATCACAGGATAATAAAAATAAGTTTTGAAGATATGATATACGAGTAATTTATGCAAATAGGGCTAAAATATGTACTCGAGTAATTTTTTTCTCAAATAGGACTAGTCTTATTTACTCTAACGTTTTACAATAAAAAGTTTTAAAATATCTTGCCTTCAAAAATGTGAGTGCCAAGTCATTATAAAAGAATGACCTATTATATATATTACACAATTTATGTAGAATAAGATATTATAAAAAAATTGAATAGTCACAGAAATAATCAGTCATTATCCAACAATTGCTGCTAATGATCATATTCGTAGAGTCATTTATATAATCAGTTATTATCCCATAGTTGTTGCTAATGAGGGCATATATGGAAGATCATACGAAAATATGTGTCACATAAGAAATAAAACATATTTGGTCATATTCAGGGAAACGTACTACCTTAGTCCTATATGGAGCAAAATTTTCATTATATAATGTATGCTTTGAGATCTAAGAGAAATGACATGACTTTTAAAATTCAAAATTAAGTTTACTTCGGAAAGATAAAAATCATAATTTTACTAATTATAAGTGATGGTGGCCGGCAACGTGGTAGTTGGCAGTAATGTTAATGTATCCAATGACAGTGTGGTTAACGATTGAAGGAGATAACAAATTTCTATATCGATAATTTCTAAATTCGAAAAATATCAAAACTCTCTATTTGAAAAGTTGTAATATCAAATCTAATTTTTTAAATTATTTACCAGACATCAGAAAAGGGTTATGATATTTTATGATATCAGAACCCTTGCATTTTATATTCACCAAATCCATCATCTTTCAAGATGAAGAGAATAAGTTCATGTTCTCTCCACCTTATCTGAACGATTCTGATCAAATTGGAATAAGTTTTTAATCTGATCTAATTTTAATGTAGTTATATTTAAAACTATTTTAAATCTAATCTGGTCTGATCTGATTCCAATACAAAAAAGTATGACCTCTGTCCCTGAGTATTTGTCAACTTTCGACTTTTTTCGATCAACTGTTTTCAACCTTTAACCTATAATTAAATAAAATATATATTATTTATTAATTAGATAAAATAATATTTTAAAAATATTTGATATAATACATCTAATAAAACTATTTTGTATCAACATTTAATGTCAGTTTTATTTAATTTGAGGTAAAAATTTATTAATTTTGACCGAAAAAAGTCAAAAGTGGACAAATACTAACTCAGAGACGTAGAAAGAAGTAAATACTCCGTAATAAAAATAAGTTGAAAAGAAAATGATCTAAATCAATGTTCTTTTTGGCTTAATTTTAACAAAGGTTGAGATCCATGTCCAAATAGTGGAGTTTTGCCTATATATAAACACACACTAATTACCAACATTTATTAATTAAGACACTAGATTAATTATTAACAACATTATAATGCTTGGAAAGAAAAAAATACTGCTTTTGAAAGGCATTGCTATTTCTCTCGATATAATCGCTGCCATCTGTTTTGGTATCGCACTAGGAGATCATCATCATCATTATCCCAATCCTCCGGCGGCGGCGGCGGGACTTACAAAACCCGCTAGGCGACTGCTCGCCGGAATAGCCACGGCTGTTCATAGCGCTGCTTGTGGGGTTGCCCTGTACCTTTCCGGTCGTTGTATTCGCGGGGCACATCAAGATCAAGAAGTGATGGATATGTTGATGCTGATGCTATTTTTTAATTTCACATTGTAGGTATTGTAAGTTAGTACTTTCTTTGCAGAACATTTGTCTGGCTTTGATTTTTTTTCAGTTAAAATTAACAAACTTTAACTATAAATTAAATAAAATTATTACATCATCAGATTTTGATGCAAAAACAACTTTTTTAGTGCTAATGCAGAAAAAGTTTACCAGATTTATTTTGTAAAATATTTTCAAAATATTATTTTAAATAGTGGGGTAGAAATATGCTTTTCTTTACTTATGAAATTATGATTACTCTTTTGCCCATACACCTTAACATCATCACAAAAGTATAAAAATGTAATCTTCCAAAATATGAGCAATGTTAGACTCACAAATAACTTGGACATAAACTATACAAATTTGTCAAATTTGTGTAGTTTCTAATGTAAATAAAATGATTTTAAAAAATTCAAAAAATAAAAATTTAAATATACAAATGATATATTGTACGTGTTGTCTCATCTAAATTGTTTGTGACTCTAACATTGATCTTATTATATTCTCTTTTCTTACCAACGAAACAATGATCAGAAAAGAAATATCTCTTTTTTTTCTTAACAATGTTAAGGTTTTTCAAATCATTTTATTTATAGAATGATATAATATATATATATATATATATATATATATATGTATGTATGTATGTATAAACTACGTCAAATTTTTTTCAAAACAAGAGGTGACAAAATTATTTTATTTTATTAAATAATCGATGAACACGTACAAATACACAAAAATTTATGTGATTTTTAAATAATAAACTCTGACATTCTTTTTTTTTTTTTTGAAAAAGGGAGCTTTTTTTTTTTATTTTCTTCTTATTTTGTCTCCTCGTGCAAATAGAGGCGTAAAACTGTTACTGATTATTGATTTTAATTTATTTTTTTTTAAAAAATATTTTATGGGCAGGGCGACGTTTGGCTTTGGAATTTATTTTATGGTGGTAGTAGTAATTAAAGGAAATACGAGTAGCTCTAATCAAATGTTTGGAGTATCTGATTTTATCATCCAAGCGTTTCTTGTCATAGTCTTCTCAATCACCAGCACTGACCCTAGTTCAAAGATGACTATACCCCAATCTCCAAGATCTCCTTAAATCTCATGAGACGGTCACTAAGTAGAGGTAAATTGAATTTGTACGCAAATTGGAGACAGAAAGTCAAGCCTGCACCTAATATTGTAGAGTTCGGGTCTCCAGAATCCCCTCAAATCTCGTCAGACGGTTACTAAAAAAAGGTAAATTGAATTTGGATGCAAACTGGAGCCAGAAAGTGGAGCTTGCACCTGATAATTGTAGAGATCCAATCTCGAGAATCTTCCTAGTTCTGGACAATTTTTTAACTACAATTTGAATCTGGCAATGAAAAAAAACATGTCGTTAGTACTTGCAAGAATTTCATGTTTAACATGGTCTAATTACTAAGATTCAAATCTTAGTTAACTCCTTGTATATATGAGTGTTTGAGGCAATAGTAGTTCAAACGAGAAAAATTATAGCGACGGTGACAAACTACAATGATGGTGCCTAAATTGATGCACAATGTGCACAATCTATGTTTTTTTTCTAACACTATGTTTGGTTCAAGGAATTTGGAAGGAAAAGAAAAGAAAACGGTTTCCTCTCATTTTCCTCACCAAAATGGGAGGAATTGGTTTTCCCTCCACTTGGTACATTTTCACTATGTTTGGTTCAAGGAATTTGAAAGGGAAAAGAAAAGAAAATGAAGTGGAAAACCATTTTTCTTGTTTTGGTTAGAGGGGAAAAGAAAGGAAAAGTGGAATGAAAAGAAAATGAGGAGGCAAAATATACCAAGTGGAGGGAAAACCAAATTCCTTCCATTTTGGTGAGAAAAATGAGAGAAAACTATTTTCTTTTCTTTTCCTTCCAAAATCCTTGAGCCAAACATAGGGTTTGCCTTCTCATTTTCTTTTCCTTCCACTTTTCCTTTCTTTTCCCCTCTAACCAAACAAAAAAAAATGTTTTCCATTTCATTTTCTTTTCTTTTCCCTTTCAAATTCTTTGAACCAAACATAGTGTAAATGAATCAAATTAAGTTTATGAGATTTGAGTGATGTGCTTTTCAATTTAAATTATTTGATTGAAAAAACATTAGAACACGTAAATAATAATTTGTAGAGAGAGCCACGAATGGAGTACTTGTTATATTGGTGTTTCCTCTCCCTTGGACCCCCGCTACCGGGGCCTGCCGCCCCAGGACCCTTGCTACAAATTTGTAATATCGTTGAACGATTGCGCGCTCCACACCTCCTCACTCGTTTGACAACGTCTATTCAAGTTCTTGTCTAATCTAAGTAAACCCAATCACACAAAATAGCGGATGACACTAAAATCACCAACAACTACAACCATAACTAATTAATCGGATGCCAAAACGTTCTCCCCACAACAAGTCGCATTATGAAGCTCTCTATCCATGTCACCTCCGTATCTTTGGATGTCTTGCCTATCCGTGTCAAGACTAATTTGCTGGTAACATATCTGCTCAAATCTGACCTGAAACATTAAGTGCCAATATGGCAAACAACAATGAGCAGTTAACCAAATATTATGCTGATAACCAAACATGACCCAAGTAGGCTTGAAACACAACATACTATAGCAACTATAGATAGATTCTATGCAAGTGGGAAAAAACTAAATGATAATGACAGCTTTTGAAATTTCATCTCATTACTTCTTTAGAAGTTCATAAAACTTTGCCCCTATGTTTTTTTGCATTACTATGTCAAAAAAATAATTAGAAAATGCCCTTTAAAGTAAGAAAAAAAAAAGACAATTACCTGAAGATACAAATTTCATATCATCGACCGCATCATGGTTGGGAACTTGGGATTAAGGTGATGATGAGTTCCCACAAAAAGTAGGGTATGGGTCTCTGGGAAGGGTGAGTGCACGCAGACCTTACCCCTACTTGAAAGCAGAGAGATTGTTTCCTAGTTCATATAGTTGTTTCTGTTGTATGTTTTCCTTCCCAAACATGTCTTACTGGTTGTACTCATCTTCCAATGTTGAGCCCTCGATAAGGCTCAAATCATCACTTGAGCACTCCATGAACTCGTATTCTTAGCCACTATTCCATAAGTATGGTTTTAATGTGAAAAGAAAACAACCCAGTATAGTCCCAACTCCGTTCGGGTCTTTGGTTGGGGGGGGGGGGGGCATGATGTGCAATCTTACCCCAGTTACCCCTGTGAAAACAGAAAGCAGAGATACTGTTTCCATGGATTTATCGGCAGAGAATGAAACTAAAAAGTTGAATAACATCTCAAGTCAATTGTTGTTGGTGATGTTTAGGCAAGACAATGCCACGTTCGACAAAAAGCATCATAAGTTTGTCTGCCTCGTCCGCTTTCCCATCTAACACCAATTTCTCCTTGACAGTTTCACATAACTTCAAATCAGGAATCAGATTCCGCTTGAACATCCGACAGGCAACCTTAAATGAGAACAAAGGGTTCCCTTTTTTCAAAAAACTCTCAATAAGAACGTGGCAAGTTTTCGCATCGATTCTTGAAGCTGTCCTAAGAACTTTATCCAACAGCTTATAAGCCTCGTCGGGATTTCCAAACCCACACAACTTTTCAATGACTTGGTTGTACACGGTCTTACAATCCTGTCTTGACAACATCTTCTCTAATAGCTTTACAAGATCATCTACCCGGCCATGGTGACAAAATCGATGAATCACGGTACGGTACGTGACTTGAGTAGGAACCAGCCCTTTATGGATCATTTTCTTAGTCATTTCAATCGCCTCTTCTATTCTTCCATTCTTTCCTAATGCATTTATTATCGTTGTATACGTGACACCATCTGGATGCTTGTTAATCAAATACATGTCATCAAGAACGGATAGAGCGGAGCCCACGTCGTTCTTCGAACAGAAACCGTGAATCAGAGTGGTGAAATTTACGGCATTTACAGCGCACCCTTTTCTCGCGCACTCTTCTAGAAACTTCTTTGCCTCAACCGTTTTACCCTCCCTACAAAGAGCTTGAATGAGTTGGTTAATTTCGACTGGAGTAGGGAAAAACCCCTTTCCTATCATTTCGGCGACTATATCACAAGCTTCCGGAAGCTTTCCCTCCCTACGAAAGCCATGCATCAGAACACTATATGTCACGGCATTGGGCTTCCACCAGCCATCCTCACTCATGTTCATCATCTCTCTTGCTTCTGAAGATTTTCCATCGCGACACAGCCCATTCAAAAAGGCTGTGTAGGAAACAGTGTTTGGCTTGCATCCATATTTGTTCATCTGTTGGAGTAGCTTTTTTGCTTCGCCAACCTCTCCCAAACAGCAAAATCCATTCACGACAGACGTGTAAGTCACCACATCAGGAACACATCCCTTGGCGATCATCTCATTGAGGAGCTCTTTCGCGCTATCCATCCTCCCCTCTTTACAGAATGAGTTTATGACAGTACTGTACCCGATTTTGTCCATTGTGAACCCTCTGGATTCTCCTTCCCTTAAAAAACTTAGGGCTTCATCGGCATGCCCATGCTTTGAAAGCATATGTACAAGACTTTCATACATAACCTGATCGAGATGTAAATTATCGTTTCTCATCTTTTTATCTATCAACTCTCTTATTTCGTCGACTCTATTCTCCTTGCACAAAAATCCCATCACAGTGCAGTAACTCACTTTGTCTGGAGGACAGCCCTTATGAGGCATTTGAGCAATAAGGTCCAGAGCATCTTCAACTCGGTGCGCATCACAGTAGCCTTTGATTAAGGAATTATAAGATACGATATCGGGTGTGATTCCAACTACTTTCATACGTTCCAAAAACCTCAATGCCTTCTCCAGCTTATTCCCCTTCACCAAAACATAAATTGCAGTGTTACAAATGGATAAATCTAGCCCAACTCCTGCTCTCTGCATTAAAGTAAGAACCTGCAAAGCGTTCCTCATATGTCCTGCTCGACTAAAAGAAACCATCACATAACCAAAAGCTTGGGACTGAAGTTCAATTCTTCTTCTGGACATTAACCGGAGGACGCGTTTGGCTCCTTGGCACAACTTTGTCTTGCTAAGAATTCTAAGCATCTCATAATACACGACCTGGACGTGCCTATAGCGCCATTGCCGGTCTGCCCAATGAAAGAACATCAAAGAAACCCTTTCATCGGATTGAGACCTTAACACAGCACAAACTTGAAGAGGTGTCAAACTTTTCAATAAGCGCCTTAGATCTCCCTCAAGCCTCAGAGTCCATAGTGACCTCATATCAATTAACTTACATATTTCTTTTACCAAAGGGTGTCTCATTTCATCCTCTATCCCATCAATTTTCTCTTTGCGGCAATGACTTGGGTCACGATTCCTATCAAATGAATCCAAAATCTTAAAATCATTGCCAATGTCATCATTGTCACTCTCTCCTCCATCTTCCTTTTCTGACTCTTCAAACTCGTTCAAATCGCCAAATTTGCAAGTTCCCACAACTTCTCTATCACTATAAACCATGTCTGAAAAACTTAAGTTCCCATATTTTCTACGGCCCATTTCTTGAACTGCATCATAAGCATTGTCATACTCACAACAAAAACTAGAAAGAGGTATGGCTATAGATGGAAGAGGACACTGGATCAGGCTGTGAATAAATGCTTTTGTTCTTTGAGGCTGAAAGACAAACATACAAACCAAAGAAGGGAGGGTGAGAGACAAAGTTTTAGATTCTCGTTTGAATGATACAACGCTATCAGTGCATAAGGATACATCATTTAGTTTTTATTGGCACTAATAAGTATATTAGATGTGATTATGAGATTTAAGTTTACAAATGATACCAGCATAAGTATATTAGATATGATTATGAGATTTAAGTTTACAAATGATTATGAGATTTAACCATATCTTTCAGACAATTATGGCATGTTTTTACAAGGTCTGGTGTAAATGCTGGAAAAGGGAGCGAATCGTGCCAAGTCATTAACGGGATGAACTTCAACGGAACAAAAGAAGCTTCAAAAACAGTTTTCAAGTGAAGTGTACGAGTGTCATACACTCATACAACACAGGGTCAAATGGACAAGAAACCATAAGCAAGAGGATATGGGGTAGTCATTCGATGAAACACCATGCTTCAATGGTAATATGTATCTATACATGTAAATAGGCATTCGAACTTCATGATAACAAGTGTTACTAAATTGGATCCCTCTTTACATACACGAAACGCTCTGAGCTTGAATCCTACAACTGGTGTTTTTGTATAATTTCTCATTAATGTGGTTGACAATAGTCACAATAGACATTGTGGAAAGTTAATACTTACCCATAAAAAAGGAAGATGTATGAATCTCTACTTGAGTACCTTTTGCTTACTATAAACTGAACGGGGGAGCCAAAATAAACTTCAAGAAAACAACCCCTTACCGGTCGGGAATTGAATTGAACGGGGGAGCCACCGTCGCCGGAAATGAGACACCGCCGCCGCCGATTAACCCGAAACCTCATCGAGAAATTGGGAAGTGGAAGAATTGAGTGTACACGTTAATTTGCAGAGTAGAATAAGCAGCACACTCTTATATTTTTAGTTTTTTTTATAAATAATTACCTATTAATTTTATAAATTATCTTTTCGTAATTAAATTGTATTCTTTGTTTATTTTTTTCGTTTTTATTTTTTTTCCTTTTTATATTATAAAAAATTATTACACAAAAAAACAATTAATTAAAAAATGTCATGTTGAATAAAAGAAAAATACACGCACTCATTACATAAATTAAAAAAGATATACATGGAAAAAACATAGGAAATATAAAAAATCTAGACTTGATCAGGATCACGTTTGGCCACAATTATCAAACATATTCCCAGCGTTCGCATTGTTTGAATTGAAGGGGGGTCGATTATTGGATTGTAAAAATACGAAAAATTGGGATTGTTTGGATTCGTGGCGAGAGTAAAAATATAAAATTTGTAAAAAAATCTAATAAGAATTGAGATTATGAAGAAGTGTTTGCGTTTGAAATTGGTTGGAATTGGATTGTTGAAATAGAAGAGAGATGGAGTTAGTATGTTTGAAATTTAAAAAATTAATTTTTTTGTGTCAACATGACTGTTGCAAAGAAGGAAAGAAAAAACGGTCGGATGAGCAATACGTGGAGCACCGTGGTCGTGACCACAGATGCTCTCACGTGTTGTGGCCACGAGGGGAGGGAGCAGAGTTCGCGTGAGGGGGGGGGGGGGG